AGAAGAGGCGATGCCAAGACTATATTCCAAGCATAGGCGGATATTCCCCTAAAAGGGCATGGTTGGCCAGAGAAACTAATGCCCATCGATTTTCTATTCGAGGATCCAAATGTCGACACTAAGTTCCCAACCTAGTTCATTGTGCACCCGATATACTGGGGAGGTTGCAAAAAAGTCTCTATACCGTTGTGCTGTCAGCTTGGACCCGGAAGACCAAACGCCAGCCGATGAAGTAAATTCAATCGATCATATCACGTCTCTTCCGGAAAAAGAAATTGCTTCCTGGCCCCAGCCCAACCAACGCAGAAACAATCAAGTCTGCTCTCTATCGTATCCATCAATTGTGTGCTTCTACTTTCTAGGGACGATATGTGCTCGCAGGAGATGCAACTCATCTTAACAACGCCAGTTCTCCATCCATTTGATGATATACCTTTGATACCCACTTCATCACTACTAGCCCATGGGTGGTATGGGACTGTCAACAGGACTGATTGGCCTCCGAAGCTCTATGCGATATCCTCGAGATGATTATTCTTTGAAGGGAAGTCGTCCGACCTACTGGACATATATGCGAACGAGAGAACAAAGGCACTTCAGATGTTCGTTGATCCTCAGAGCACGCAGAATAAACTTCGAGTCCAAAGTGACCCCGGCTACGCCCACGAGCATTGGTTGCTCCGCCAACTGAACAGTACATCTCCCAAGTTTTTGGAAGACTTTGGATTGCCATTTTTCTAGCAGTGGAGGGTGAATATGAAGGAGATAGTCTCATAGTCATCGTAATGTTCTTTTGTTTCCCCCAAGTGTATCCATTGTCACACATCACAGCGCTTGTCCTCAGACTGCAAGCTGATTCCCGCTATAATTTGATCTGGAATCTCATTGGCACCCATATCTTGCCAGGTAGATAGCAAGAAGTATTAAAGGGTCAAAACTCGAATGGGCATACGTAGCTCGACTGCCTATCTGGAATACCGAGACATCGATATATAAGGGCTGGTTAAAGTACAGGATGCGGGACGGCATCATTTGTCCAAGTTCTTGCTCTTAACCATCCTTCCAAGCAACTCCTTGCAGTTCTTCTCGCTATATTGCTCCCACACCTCGTACAAAGAGACCAGCTCTTGTGTACATTCGATGACAGCTTTGATATCGACTTCACTTTCCGCAAGCCAGCCGATAAGCTTCTGAATTTTAGGAGGAGGACCGGATCCAGTTTTATCTGATAAAGCGGCCAGCATCTGCATGCCGCCTCCATCTCTCATAGAGCCCGCCAAAGCCGATTGCCCGGTTCCAGGGTACGCGGATGGGTGGGTGGGTTTGAATACAACCGCGACGACGATTGCCATGATAGCAATGACATGAGGCGGGTGTAGAAGGGGTAGATCTGTCAGATAATGATCATTGATGACCGACCAGGCCAGAGCGACTTCGTCCGAGGTGAGTGATAGTTCGGTCTGAAGTTCGGACAAAGTCCGATAAGGATGATGCACGATGAGTTGCGAGCTCAATTCAGATATCAAGGCAAACTCGCATTCCCCGAGCTTTGCCACATCTGGGGTAATAAATTCTGTGAATAGTTAGCGTTTGGTCTGTTTATGGCTCTATATACGGATGCATACCCGGCCACAAACCGCGCGCTTCGCCGACCACAAAGCGAATATGCTGTGGACACTCTTCCATCTTGCAGGCAAGATAGAAGGCTGTGGTGAGCACAAGGTATGGACTTGTCTGTCGAATCTCATTCTTGGTATAGAATCTCTTGAGATACACCTGTGCTGTCGCAATGGCCTGCTGTCTGGTGGACATGCGTTTGCCGAGTCTGATGAGCTCTTGTAATCTTCATTAGCCTGGGAGTTCAAAAGAATGAACATATTGACAACACCTACGGTGATTAAAGTAGATATTCAGTAGTCGCTGATCTGGCAGCGGGAACTGCGAATGGGCAACTTTATCCTTCTCCCGTAATCCTTCACGGATATCTGCTAACTTCTCTCTAGAGAATAGCCAGTGTCGACGCTGGGATGATGCCCAGTAGTTGGCTGCCATATTGAAAGTTTGATGATGGCAAAGCTCGCAAATTGAAAGTCGTCACGACATGGTTGATCCGAGGTCCGGGGGCTATACAGCTGACCCCGCAGGCCACGTATTATGATGAAATGAGAATGCAGAATCACCAACAAAGAAACCAAAACAAAACAATAAATAATATAAGAATCAAGTCATCTAATATGAGGTCAGGTTGTAATCCCAAAAAGGGATAGTAGGGCTTGGCCCTGGTCCCGTGCAAGATAATCCGATGGCGTCAAAGGTCAAATCGCCGGGCGCCTATTAATCATTACAAGGCTATTCATATTCACTTGCGCATAACTTTTACCTCACGTCATCCTTTTTATGTCCTCGATCTTATTTTCAACATCTATGGGTCTTGGTTTGAACATCCCCTTATAACAAAGCAAAGAAATGGTTGCTCGGTAACAATTTTCATCATGGCATCCGAAGAGTCAAAAGATGAACGCGACAAACGAGTCGCCGAACTATGGGAAACCTTGGATACCCGACGAGAGGGTTCTATCGACCTGACTGGATTAAAGAAGGGGTTGAAGAAAATCGATCATCGTGAGTTTGACCGGGTTCCTTTATATTTACGCGCCTAATCTCTTTCTAGCTTTAAAAAATGCAGACGATATGGTACTGAGTGTCGTCCGGGAGGTGGACACGAATGGCGATGGACGTATCGACCAAGCCGGTAAGCTCACAAGAACTACCTAGCCACTTGGGGAAGGGGTGTCCTGGCCGCCATTGTTTGGTCTAATCACATAATCCGCAGAGTTCCGAGCATTTCTCAACCGCACCGAGGACGGGCTATGGCAGATGTTCCAGAGCATCGATCGAGATAACAGCGGAGAAATTGACAAGACAGAATTGCGGAATGCCTTTTCAGGTTCTGGAGTCACGGTCTCGAACGCCAAGTTGGACCGGTTTTTCGCCGAGGTCGACAAAAACAATGACGGGGTGATCTCTTACACAGAGTGGAGGTATATACAATTGCACTGGTCCAGTGAAGGCTGAACAGTCTAGGCTGACATGAACTCTTCTTTTTCTTTTAGGGATTTCCTTCTATTCCTACCTCTCCAGTCCCCGACCGACCTCCACGCAGTCCTTTCATACTACACGGCTACGGGCAATCTAAACCCGGAAGGAGATGTCCACATCAATGACCTGCAGGGTTTAGGTACAGACCATCCGTTTCTTTCACCCTACGTTCTGGCCATCCAACACTTTTTGTACAACTTTTTGTCTCTCCCCACCTTGGCCTCCTTCATTCCTGCAGCGCACGCGCAAACCAGTCAAATCTCAAAGTTGGGACCCGTTTTCGAGCATGATATTGCCTCGCTAGACGCCGACTTGGAGTTGGAGTGGTTGCCTCTTCCCCAGACTACCGCCATGCGGATGTTTTTCCGATATTATGGACGGAAGTTGACCGAAAATACCCCTCAACTAGGCTACTTCCTTGCAGGTGGAATTGCGGGTGCCGTGTCGAGGACGGCCACCGCCCCCCTCGATCGTCTCAAAGTTTATCTCATTGCACAGACCGGCGTCAAAGCAACGGTTCAGGCGGCGAAGGACGGGGCCCCGTTGGCTGCGGCAGGGAATGCTTCCAGAACATTGCTCGACGCGCTCAAAGTATTGTGGCGAGCTGGAGGAATACGGAGTTTGTTCGCAGGTTCGTCGTAGTTGTCGATCTGGGCTCGAAGCGGCAACGACTAACTATCAGTAGGGAACGGCTTGAACGTGGTGAAGGTTATGCCAGAGTCTGCGATCAAGTTTGGTGCCTACGAGGTTTGTACTCTTGATATTAAATTTCGTCCACGCAACTAGACGAATGCTGACCCGAGAACAGTCTGCGAAACGAGCATTTGCAAAACTCGAAGGACATAACGATACCAAGCGACTCCTTCCCACTTCACAGTTTATGTCCGGTGGCTTTGGTGGAATGGTTGCCCAGTAGGTCTTGCGCGTCATTGATGAGAGGAAAATTGAATCTAATTGCGACTAGATGCTTCGTCTACCCCCTCGATACCTTAAAATTGTGAGTTCATCGACCCAAGTGACTTGTTAGAGCACCGTGGCTTACACTTATCAATAGTCGCATGCAGTGTGAAACCGTGAAAGGTGGGCCGATAGGCAATCAACTCATCGCAGCTACCGCAAGAAAGGTGTGGAACAAGAATGGCTTGGTTGGCTTTTTCCGTGGACTCCCGCTTGGCCTTGTGGGGATGTTCCCCTACGCCGCAATCGATCTATCGACATTTGAATACCTCAAACGGAGTCTTCTCGCTAAAAAGGCTCGTGAATGTGGCTGTCATGAGGATGACGTACCCCTCGGCAACTTCGCGACAGGTGCAATTGGTGCTATGAGTGGAGGATTCAGTGCCTGTATTGTCTACCCCCTCAATGTTCTCCGCACTCGACTTCAAACCCAGGGCACGATCATGCATCCACCTACATACACAGGGATTGGCGAGGTTCTAAAAGTTACACTCAAAACCGAGGGACCTCGTGGCTTGTACAAAGGTCTCACGCCTAACCTTCTCAAAGTGGCACCGGCCATGTCGATCAGTTACGTGGTCTATGAGAACGCGAAACGTATACTTGGTTTACGATAATCTGCCAGTCCGAACAAGCACTCACTTCCTCTTCCTCCTTGCATACCCCCGCGGATACCACTCAGCCATTTGCTTGCATTTCGACTTCATCCTGGCACATCCGTTGTGCCTTGGGATCGATCTTTGCTATTTAACGGCTTGACATTTAGAAGCGTTGTCCCCAAGATACCCACAAAAGCCATCGACAGACTTGGCACACCCTCTCATGGGTGCATTTGAGATGCACCCCATTCCCATTTTTGATCTCATTGCCATAATCACGAGAGACCACAACATTGGCTTTTTTTTTTTTTTTTGCATTCACCTTTGGTTGATATCAACAATGCTTCAATCTGTACTTTTTATTTGATTTCTATTGCTCATGTTGCGCTCACTTGAGACAACTGTACTTTTGACCAACCTTTGATACAGGGCACTGGGAAACCCACCACCAACCACATCAGCATGGCAAGGCGTCGATACAATACCACGGGACTTTTGATTTCCATTTTGTCTATTATTATTATTATAAGAAAACCTACACGTTTGGATAAATACATACTTTGAAACATTTGCATGAATACCATTCCGATTACTCATAAATTACCCAGTTCGCGAGTCGCAGACAGGCTCTATCACTAAACCCCTTATTTAGCCTCCTGCACAGCCCTAACCTCCTCACCCTTAGGAAGAATATCCGGCACAGGCCCCAGAGGAGTAATAGCAAACTGATTAATCTGCTTGTGACTTTTAGTATAATGGAACTTGATATGCTCGAAGTCGGTGGTATCCCGGAAAGCAGGGACATCCCAATACAGCCTGCGCACCCAGCGGTGAATCGCCGGGAATCCAGAGCGGATATCACGCAGATTACACTTGAAATGCTGCACGTAGACCGGGTCAAATCGCACGATGGTGGTGTAGAGTCTGATATCAGCCTCGGTGATCTCGTCGCCGAAGAAATATGGCTTCGAGGCTGCTTCTTGCTTGGCGAGGTGGGCTTCGACCTTGTCAAGCGAGGAGAAAAGTGTTGTTACGGCTTTCTCGTAGGCTTCTTGCGTGGTTGCGAAACCGGATTTGTATACGCCATTATTGATGTCGTTGTAGATCCATTCGTTGGAGGCGTCGATGTCGGCTTGTAGAGCCTTGGGGAAGAGGTCGATGTTCTTGTATTGCTCTGGGAGAATATCGTCGAACTCATGGTAGAGCATGCGGATGATTTCCGAGCTCTGGTTTCGTAAGAATTTGGAATTGAAAATGGCTTCGTTTGGGAAGATTGTTTCGTACCTCGTTGCTTACGATCAGCTTGGTCTTCTTGTCGAAGAGAACTGGGACGGTGAACCGACCCGTGTAGTCTGGATCATTGGAGAAGTAGACCTGTCGGATATGAGTGAATTCCGGGTGTAGAGGATCAGGAATGGTGTTCTCCCCCGACAGTTTCTCATCAGGAGTAGCAAATCGCCAACCTAAGAGATGAGTTAGAACCATTTAATTCCCCCACAGTCTGTGAGATAGATCTGACCTTCCGCTCCAAGATGCCAATGCACCGAAGAGAAAGAGATGAAGTCCTCGAGACCCTTGAGCTTCCGAGTAATCAAAGTCCGATGAGCTAGTAGATAATGAGTCACAGATCGAGTTGCAAGTCAAGTGGAAGCTCTTTCATACCCCATGGACAGGCATAAGAGACATAAAGATGGTACCGGCCCTTCTCTGGAGGAAATTGGGCGCCGGCCTCTCTAGAGATCCAGTTCCGGAAGACAGATTGCTGACGTTTGAACTCGCCGGACTTGTCACCAGGTTTCACCCAATCGGTGATTTTCATGGAGTTTCCGGTCTAGAATTGCAAGTTAATATAGCAATTGGAGCCGTTGTAGTCGACTTTCTTACTGCCATATTGCGGGAATAGATGATTGTTGCGGGGAACACAAAGCTTTGGTAAGCTGCACGAACAGGCTCTGCGCGGAGAATTGGACGTGAAAGACGCCGCAATGATTGATATTTCAGAATAAAAAACATAAGCGGCAGGAAATTACACTTGCATATATAAGGAAGAATAAAAAGGTCGGGGGTTATGACGTCTCCGGGCATGACCAAATGCTGAGTCAGATTGCTTATCGGAGATCCATCAGCTTTGACAAAGCGATCTGGATGGTCTTGGCAAAGCCCATTTGATATTGTCCTGTTACTATATGCGGTTAGGTTGGCCTTTGGTTTAGTGCCTGCCCTCCGTAAGCAGTAGTATTTCTCATTATCCCAGGGAGACTCATTCCGTTAAAATTCGAGCTAGTACGGTTGTCTGTTTGAGCCAACGCTTGTGGCGAACCTCTGATGACCTTGGCATCTTAGCTTATCGAGTTGCACTCTTTTGACTTTAACCAACTTTTTGATATATGTGTACCCGTTCAAAAACATCATCTGCCTCAGGAGGATCACTAGGAGACTGCATTTTCACATTTTCTGCGTATAAAATTCTTCAATCACTTGTTCCTTGTCACTGTCGCTCGGCACGCATGATCTGATCTGTCTCGTGAAACGGGTAAATCCATGGGGACCACCTCCCCAGACATGTTATAAATGCAACGTTCAACGCCGTTGAAGCTCTCAAAACACACAGTCCGATTCCCATATTTTCTAAACCAACCTCCGGTCCCACTTGTGGACACTGTAAGGTCAATCCAAGGCCTGCATTTCTGGAGGACGAGCATAATACATATCCCAGTCGTGCATATCGCACATTGCCGTGGCTCCAATCCCCTGCACCTCATCGTAAGGCACTTTCATCCAACCAACATCTTCCTGCGTGCATCCCTCCAGGGGCTCAAGCTCGTCCAAATCGACTGACTCATTGCCATCTTCATTTACCCCCGGTTCCCATTCTCCATAAACCAGATTAACAAACCCGGTTTGCGTCATGGCATCCGGGTCCGAGTTCAAGACGGACTCTAGCGCCTCCTGATCGACCATGACAAAAAATCTGTAGCGACCCGACTTCCCGAAAGTATCGACGCCCTGTTCCTGCAGCGGTGCAGTCGTAGCCCACTTCCTGAAATGGGCGCGGAGAACAGCGGTGGTCGCGCCATCAAATGAGAGGTCTTCAAAGACCGTTGGGGTAAACCCTTCTAGCATGTCTAGACCCCTGCTGAACGCAAGGTATTCCGTGACGGACTGGAGGAAGCGAGCCATGAAACTTTCCCAGTCTTTTTGGCTTTGATACGTGCAGCGATAGATAATGAAGCCCCACTTTGTGAATCCGTCTTTTTGGAGAAGCCGTTCTAGGATGTCTGCGGCGTTTAAGCATGTTTCCATGGTGGGATCCCGTTTTGATGGTTCTTCGATTTCATAATCGGGGATGCGTAAATTTCTTGCGTTTGAGAATGATTTGGTGAGCTGTGAAGGGCCAGTTCTGGTAGGAAAACGGATGGGACGAGTTGAAAGGCTGGAACACCTGAATAATTGCTTCCGAAAATGTCTTGGAATCATTTAGTGAAAAGAAAATGAAGAAATCTTGGAAGAAATCAAGTTGGGTCCAGGGCAATGTTAGCGGCACGGAGTAGACCAAGTCGGAAGAGGATCACGTTGACTTACAATAGAGGATCCAGTCTACACCAAGCAGAGAAATTCCGTCGCCCAATCTAATGGAAATTACCCAGCTTAGCGCCAGGTTCGATTTATCCTCTACATGGATGCTAGGCAAATCTGGGTATCATTACAAGGTACCCTAATACCTAGCGTGGAAACTATTGCCGTGGATTTTGAAGGGCCGGGGGCAAAGGTGCGAATGCCAACGAGACATAGCGCTCCGGGAACCATAAACACTCTGGGAGCCTTTATCACTTCTGTGAGGGTCTCACGTACGCGTAGAGATAAATAGTCGACTGAATCTATGGACTATCAGATGCTGTAACTTCTTGATTGGACGCTCAGGTGCTCTCTTCCCCCTGTTCTCTAAGCACTAACGCTCTCCAGGGCACGCCAGCTCATTTATGAGTTGGCAATTAGTACCCGATGTCGGCTACCCAAGGACTGACCCTCTCTCCCACGCTGCTTTTGAGATATAAATCCAAACTCCTCTCGTTTTCTTTTCTTGGCTGACCTGAAACCCCCGCATATCAGTTCTTCACAACCCAACCCATGGCCCCACAAGCAATTTACTATGCGGTTTATAAAGGTCGTGTTGACAAGCCTGCTATATATTGTTCTTGGTAAATAAGATTAAATCCGGAAAAGTGGCGCTTTTTTCGCTGATGTCCTATCTGTTTAGGAGCCAAGCGCATCCAAGAGTGATAGGATGCAAAGGCGCTGAGCATGACAAGTTGACACTCGAGGACGCCTGCAATGAAATGTTCCAAAGAGGAATCAAAGATTTTGATATGCCCATCAAAAATTCCGTCAAACGAGATACCATACCATTGAATAAGGGCAAACATTGGGCTGTAGCTGGTGGCAGGGCTACTGGCGTTTTCACCGACTGGAAGTAAGTTTCATTCCTTTCGTATGCAAAGTCAATATCTAATTAGAGTAGGAGTGCAGAAAAAGCCATCACAGGGACAAATGCCTGCCATGGGGCTTTTAGCTCCCAGGAAGAAGCAGAAGATTTTATTGCAAGTTGGAAAGATGCCTTCGCTGACGTATCGCGACTGGCCATCAGACAAGCATTAGAGAATGGATGGGTGCCTCGTAATATGAAGTTTAATGTTGAGTCCTTTTTAATTAGGGACAATGAGAATATGATGGGCGAAAACGACAAAGAGATGAAGATGCGTGGGATTGAAAAAGAGGAATACCTTGACCTTCTGAACGTTGAAAAGTTGACTATCAAAGAAGAACAGTAGATATGAAGCTTCGTCTACTGGACCCCTGGATCTACAATCCATCTACTGATACGTTCTGAATTGCACCCGAAGACACAAACAAAAAGAATTATCCCCAAGGGCACAAACCACCGAGCTCGTAATCGCTTGATGTGGCTCTAAAAGAACCGTCACCGTGGCCATAACGATAAGAAAATGGGAGATATAAGGATATAGGAGGGGAGGGGAGGCGAAGCATCTTATAGACGCTTAAACAGACTGGGCGAGAAGGGAGGGGACTTGAATCCAGCTGAAAGGGAGCCATTTTCGGCGTTGTTTTAGTTGCCAGTGGAAACGAGGGGAATAGGTGGGTAAGTCGAGCGTCAACACCACGACCGGGGAATGACTAGAAGTGCTGGGCAGGGTTAAGGGGAGACTAGACGTCCAAAGTGACGGGTGGAAAGGCAGCCGTTTCTGGCCTCAAAAGCGGTCATTTTCGGCGTCAATCCCACAGGTCCTCATATTCTATGTGTAATTTGTACAAATTATATAGCTTACATTGGTAGACCGCACATGTTTGAACAAAGAGTGTAGAGAGTGGAATGATCATAATATCTAGCTACTGTACTAGCAATATGTAGCCAACCGGCCTTTCGTAGATTTTGATCGTTTTATTTTGTGCCCAGCTTGACCATCACGTAAGGAACTTCGACATCCTCTTCTGTCTGGTCCTCTGCAGTCACCTCGAAGATGATGTTTTTCTGGTGCTCGGGGACTGGCTTCTTGCTGACGTGCTCCACAAGCTTGCTCATGCTGAAAGGTACAATGTTAGTAATTTGACTCAAACACGGGGTTATAGAACAGATACTCACGTTAGAGGAAGGCGATCCTTGACCTTCGATGGGGGATAGAAGCTTGCATACAACAAGCTGACTCCAGAGCTGACCATGGTGATGTCCAAGCCCTTCTCGGCGAAGAAGTCGAGGAACTCCTGGAGGGGAATGTCTTCCACCTCGAATCGGTCCCAGAGCTTGTCAATTGTGACTTCGCCTTTCTTGCCTTGGTACTTGCCCTTTTCGCTAGCGATCGGCTCGCTGAAGCTGAATAGCGGAAGGGCCAAATTGACAAAGCCGTTCTTGTATTGCTCGATGTCGTCCTTGCCGTCAACAACCTTGTATAATTCGAGAGCAACAAGACCAGTGGCCAGGGCAGTAGTGGTGGCAATCGCCGGAATAATCTTTCCTGCGATGAATTTGGTCTTGTGTCGGTCGGCCTGAGGGATATCATAGTTGTCTGCACGGAGGTTGCTAGCCGCAGTGATGAAGTCGATGTGGTGGTTGGTGTCATCATCCTTCTCAAACTCAACTGGTTGCAAGCGGAACCCAGCAAGAGACTTGGGAGAAGGAAGAGATTCCACCAGTTTTTGAATTTCCTGCTCATCAGTAGATGAACTAGCTGGCTGGGCATTCGGATCGGGGTCATTTTCATTGGCCTGAATCTTGACATTCGAGCTCGGGGTGAACTCGGGAACGATCATGTCATCAACTACCCTGCGGTAATAGCCCTTGTCCGCACCGGGGTTCTTGATACCGTAGTTGAACGCATGGAGATTAGCACCGGCAATAACGAATCCGAGATGAGTGGGATTAAGGCTGTCGAACTTCAAAGGTGTAGGGGCACGCTTAGGTCCAGACCAGAATAGTTGACCGGATGATGTCTTGGAGTCTCGGGGGAAGTTATAGAGGAGCTGCTGGATCGCGTTATTGTACTGTGCTTCAAATTGTTGGCGAGCCCACACAATACAATCATCGAAAGTTAGGGGCTTTTCAGTGACCAAGAAGTCACGCAGGTGCTCCAAGGTTTGCTTCTCATTGCCCGCTTGCTTGAGGGTCTGCTGAATGTAGTCAGGCTGCGAAAGGTACATGTTGACTGATTCAGGCGGGCCAACGAAGTAGGTCTGGAAGACATCCCTTGCCCATGCAATGGTGTGCTCAATGCGGTTCGGGAAGCTCTTCAGGGTACACATAGGGAACGACTTCTCCGGGGGATCCTGAGAGCTGGAGTAGGACTCTGTGATGAAAGGAAGGACGACCTGAGTGTTACACTTGGTGCCCAGGGTACCACTCTCCAGCAAGGGCTTGCGGAAGAAGACACAGCGGCGATCAACGTAAGTACGTGCATCGACATTGTCCAAAGCGTTTGTCACACCATCAAGGCCATTCCAGAAATCCTCATTGAAGACGTGTTCAGTGTCGGCACCGACGCGATCACGAAGAGTGACAATCTTACCCTCCAATTCTGGGTTCATTGCCTGAGCGGCCGCAGAGGCGCATTCACTCTTGAGTCTACCGACATCCTTGGGGCGGAAGAGGAATTGGCGGTTAAGATTACTCTTCTCAATCTGGTCCATATCGGTAACGTAAATCTTTCCTTTGGGACCCGTACCCAGACCCATCATGGCCCAGTTCTTCAGCGTCTCGCAACCAATAGCCCCGGAACCCACCAAGAATTCAGTGACATTGGCAAGTTTGTCTTGGTATTCTTTGCCAAACACCGCAATTTGACCATCGTAGCGTGTACCAAGAGGCTTGCAGCTCTCTTCGGATCGAATGACCGATGAAGGCAAAGACTCCAAAGAGTCAAAGTACAACCACTGATGCACAGGGCTGAACTTGCCAGACACAGCCTTCAGAACTTCCTGGGCGGCGATGCCACCGAAGAAAGCTGCTAACGGATTCAAATCACCGCGGGCCTGGTAGCTCAGTTCCTTGATTATCTTCTCATCCAGTTCAACCTTTTCCTCACCAGCCGCAGCAAGGTCGTTAGCAATCTTCAGAACCTCCTGGGCGTCGCTATCATTGTGGGGACGAGGCAATTCGCGATCATGAGTCTCCGCAAACTTATGTAGAGCCTGGATACCAATGTGCAATTGTTGTGGCCGGTCAAACTTGGCAAAGTCGGACATGAGAAGCTCGGGCTTTTTAAGTTGTTCCTCTAGTGGCTGGAAATCAATGAAGTTGGGCATCTTGACTTGACTGAACAGACCACCACCCTGGTAGGATCCAAGACCGGAGACATCGCCAATAGTGAAAGTATAGGGACCTTTCACGGTGACTTTGCGAGGATCACTGTTGTTTAGGCCATCCATACCCTTGACTTCAGTGAAAGTGACGAAGTCACCATCCTCGAGCCCATGTCTGGTCTCATCGAGCGCCGAAACCAGCCCTTCCTCGTTAATATGCGCCACAATTCCACCGGCAGGCTCTTCACCGTTGGGATCCCCCACGGTGAAGTTCTTTCCAAAGTCATTGAAGATATAACCAAAGAGACCGAAGGTATCCGTAATTGTAAGGTAGATTTTGTTCTTGTGGCAGAAGTCGGCAATCACAAGTTGTTCCTTCAAAGGCGTCTGTGTAAGCACCACTGCCTGATAGCGCTTTAGTTGTTCGAGATCGCCCACGAGGCTTTCGCCCTCATGGACCGTGACTGGAACGTAGGAGTTCAACTCGGCGACTCTCGGGGCGGTAACTTCAGCACGGGGCTTGCCGACGTCCCCTGGCTGGAGGAAAAACTGGGAAGAAAGATCTGCGATAGCGACTGGGGCAGGGTCGTATAGGGTGAGGGATTTGACACCAGCGAGGGCGATGTTCTTGGCTATGGAGACAATCAGATGTTGGGATGAAAGCAAGGTTTGATTAATAGTCGAATCACATACCGATTTCCACACCCAAGCCCTTGAGGCCTACGACTAGAACATTGGAAGATCCCATGCGCTTCATGGCCTCGTGGCCAAGAACGTATCTTTAAGGCGTCAGTACGTACCCGAATGTTATAGAGGGGTGGAGGGCGCTTACAGCTGCCGACTATACAGTGATTCGTCGATTTCCCCGTGCTTGATCGCTTCGATGGTCTCTTGAGGGTTCTCGACCTGCATCTTGGTGTCCTTTGGTGAGATATATTAGTGGCAATCTTATCTCTAAGACGAAGACCAACCATACCGTCATGGTTCTTTTATCTGGCCGAGCTCCGACGTCGTCTTCAGAGGCTCTGCGCTTTCCGGGCTTAGCCGCGTTTCGAACAGGAATATTTGAAGGAATGATGAAAGTCAGGAGGTGAAAGCCTTGCGATGGAGCAAGTCTTTCAATAGTGATGATAAATCAATTTGCAATGCCTAGCGTACCAGGTACCTAGCTCAACGAGCACAGAGAAGAGTAGCAATCCGAACGCAAACGACGGATAATAGAGGGAAATAGAAGGTAAGAAAAAGCGGAACGCCGTGTGAGGTAGGAGTAAATAAGTAAGGGACAAGGTCAGTACAAAGTAGGAGAGAGAGATCGAAAGAGGGACAACGACGTAAGAGGGGTGGCCCAACAGCTAAGAGATGACTAATGGGCGGTGAGAGGCCGATTGGCCTTCAGCCCCGCGATACTTCAATAAACCACTGGGAGCTATTGTTCTCGAATTACAGAGTGTATTGTTGAGAGTTGGAAGCTGCGGTACATCTAGATAAGATTGGGGCCGACTCTGGAGAATGACAACCACCCCTATCTCCTCCGATTGGTTTTGAAGCCCGTTATTCAACAAGCCACGTTTGACGCGTCTCGGCATCAACGCGAAGCTTGCCACCCTCGAACGCTCTAATTCATATGTGTCGCTTTGAATTCGTGGGGCGCGGTCTATTATACTGGCAGCGAAAAAACTGTCCAGTGAAGAGAAGGCATTTCTCTAGGTGGGTTTTCCGCATTTCCGCCTTTGATCAGCTCGTGATTGATATCCGATAGGGAACTCCCGTCAGAATGCTCCATGAGATCCTACTCTCCCTCTCCGGCCAGCCATCCCCCCTCTTCAATACCCAAAAAAGGGAAAATGCTGTCATTCAAGATGGTTTTCCCCTTCTTTCACCTCCGGAGAAAGCCCTCCTCGCCTCCGTTGCCCATCTGAGCCGACTCCACGCGGAGTTGCGGAAACATGCCTCCAATATATCCTCTGCGAGCCCATCTGTCGTATGTCGCTCGGTCTCTACAGCTATTGTGGGAGCACATTTAGACGCATTCCAAAAGAAGATCCTGGAGGTTGAGAGGGCAATTCTTGCCGAGGATAGTGGATATGTCGGAGGGTATGGTATTGTCCCATTGTCGACTATTGTGGGAGAGTTTTCACCATGGACGCGGCGTATGGAGTGGCTTTGGGCTGTTATCCGGTTCATTCAACCCGAAAGGGAAAGTAGCGAACGTCTGCATGGTTCCACAGGGGCAGCGCTCATGGATCATCTGCGGACCGAAGCGCAAACAGGATATCTTGATATCAAGGAGATGGCCCTGCAATTGGCGACTTCGGCTGAGAGAGCATGGATGAAACAGCTTTCGATGTGGTTACTTTATGGGAAACTTCCTATCTACGGGAAGGAAGACTTTTTCATCCAGGAGGATACCGACAAAGAGAATAACGAGGCACAATTCAGCATCAACGCCCGATTGCTCCCAACTTTTGTCACGGCACAAACGGCAGGCTCAATACTATTCATTGGCAAATCCCTCAATCATATTCGGGCGAAACGGAAAACTTCAATAGCAGGAACCTCTACTACACCGGTGACGCTATATCGGGAGCACATCGAGCAACTTGCAGGCCTGGAACCACCAATTTCGCCTTCAAAATTGACTACCGCCGTTGACTGCATTCGCCTTTCCCTTTCTCAATCAACATTATCGAAGCTGTTGCCCCTCCCGAAAATTCTCGAAATTCTTACTTTGCTTCACAACTTCCTTTTACTAGGACGAGGGGAGTTTGTGGTGGCTCTTGTAGCACATGCAGATTCCCGAATTGAGGAGAGCCGGCGCCGAGGCCCATCAGCGACCCGTTCATTGGGAAAACTCGACGTTCTTACCATCAAAGAAGGTGAAGTCACAGCTGCTCTAGCCGAAACATGGGCGGAGCTTTTCTCACTACAGAAAGAGGAGGATCCAGCCGACGAAGAGCTTGAACTTGCCCGGGAGCTTCTTTGTCTGTCCATTAATGGCCACAAAAGTGGCCGACCGATGACTCCTGCCCGAACTCCCGATTCAATATCCAAAATCTCAAAGGTCTCATTTGAAGACCTGCTGTTTCCGGTGCCCACAAACCTCGCCGCACAGATCCGAGCTCCTCTGGACCTATTCATCTCGAGCTCTGATATTGTTATATATTCTAAGATCCATTCTTATCTCCTAGGAATACGGCGGGCTCAAATCCGGCTCGGAGATCTCTGGAAACGGACTCCATTGCGGCGAAACCACCCTACACCGTGGGGACCACCCAGGAGCAACAGTATGTTTGGCCAAGCTAAGCTGAAGGCGAGAAGAGATAGAGATAATACTCGTGTTCGCCAAATGCGCCATATCTGGGCCACGGCCAGCGCATGTCTCTTTATGCTTTCTGAGATTGGTGGCTTTTTCCAAGGAGACGTCGTCAATGAGTCGTGGCAGCACCTTCGTCAATGGATCGAAGGATGCTCTTCGTCAACATCATCAGCCCCTGGATCTCGACCTGGAACCGCATCCTCTTCTAAATCGCACCACAGTTCCAAGACAATGTCTCCCGACCAGATTCCTACCAGAGACTCCGAGTCTGGCCAGCAGACCATGGGACGGCATGATCCCGAAGCTCTCACGGTTGCCCACCGTCGGCACTTGTCATCTCTGGTGCAATCCCTCTTCTTGACCGAACTACCCTTCACAAACACAATGAGAGGACTTCTCACAAATATTGACCGCTTCGTCGCTCTCGTGATCCGGTTGGAAACCATCCAACGCAACATGGATCTGGAAACAGATGAAGGCGTGGAAGACGCTTTGATAGATTATGCCCATGAAGAACGCGAGGTATGGGAGGAGCTGCGCGCCACTCGAAATGATGTCGAGGCGGGCATTAAAAATCTCATTGGGAGCCTGCGGGATATTGATGATAGTCGCTCGGGAGAAGGACTAGCAACGAACTTCGGTCAGATGTGGCCTGGTTCCCGCCAAGATGACAGCGCGAGCCCCGGCTTCAGCCATTACGTGCCCCATAAAGCAGCAGGTGTGGATCGTCTGCTCATGAAACTAGATTTCGGCAGTCTTCGCAGCGGCTTCGGACCCGAGACGACTGTAGGTTTCGCGGGTATGCCATAATGACCGAAGCGGTCTATGAACACCAATAGGCTTTTTGTTTTTGTTGTGCTTCGTTTATAAGCACCTTCCCAGCGAGAAATTGGCGTTTTATCTTAAAGGGCATCGGATGATTAGGACGGTTGACAGGAGTCTGAATATTACATTGATCGGTTGGGGGGTTGGGGGAGGGGGAGTTTTCATTTTTCATTTTCTCGCACTACTTGCTTGTAGCGGTCTTGCTCAAGCTATTTGCTATGAAATCGAACTCGTTTATTCACTGATACGAGACGGGGACATATGTCACCCGCCCGCTGGGCTCTTCATTTGAATACCAGCCGTAGTAGAGAAGCGGGAGAGAAGGAATGCATACACCGTGTCCCTGTAGATCGAACTGCTTATCTCTTTGGTAACAGGGATACACGAATTAATTAAGGGACAGGTGACCTGAATGTGGTACGTATGCCATCCAACACGACGTTCGAGATCACCTTCGATCCTTTGATAGCCGCTACCTAGTCCGTAGTGGGAACGGGATTTGAAGCACGTGTACAATGTAGGGCTTGCAGAATGGGTCTATAAAGGCGGTCTCAATAGCGAATTCGGGTTCATTAAGCCACAAAAAAGCATATGGAGTAGACTGGGCATGCATATTGTGTGTGCATACATTGTACTCCGTAGTGGCTTTTAGTTCCCGGCGATAGAGAAAGCTTGATATTTGTAGAAAGATGCGTTGAATTTCTTTGCTAATTATCACAGCAAGTGCAAAAGAAAGGCTCGAAGATCTCAGAGATTCTATAGAGCTGTTGCACAACTGTTCCTATGAGAGTCGGTGTGAGATGTAAAAAAAGGATTACCGAATTAGGAAATCCCGGGCTTTGGCATGAGATTTCATTAAGCTCATGTGGTCCATTCCTCCCATCCTAAAAATAAAATAAAAATAAAAAATTACAGCTCAGGACTGGAAAAGCTGCGTGCTCATGGAGCTCGGGCGGATTTAATGTGGAACTCGGAGGGTCTGGGGTCCCAAGGGGCCCGGGACGCCGAGAAAGGAGAAGACGAGTCCTTTTTACTGCCCACACTTTTTTCTATGGAATCTGGAGCCTTTGGATATCTTGAATTATTCATGGCATACGGAGTAAATGTCGAAGAAAATAGGAAATGCATTACGTGTCTAACTAGCCGTTAGTGCCGAGTCTCTTATTGGGGGAGGCCGGCATTCCGCATCTGCACGGGGAGCTTCAGCTTCGCGGGATCTTCTGATCTTCCCCCAATAATCCAGCCCCTCGACCCGGAACAAGATCGGGGATCGGCATGGAAAAAAAAGAAACAGATTCCAAGCCAATCACGCTCACAGACGATCAATTGTGATGGACAACCGTGCATACTCCCGCCGGGTGGGTCATTCCATCGAAGCTCCTATCGAAGTATTTACCGTCTTCAGCCCAAGGGTCACGATATTCCTTCTGGATGGCGGTGGGACCCCCTTTCTCCGAGATCCCCATCTTTATGGCTAATCAGAGTGTCGGTGGCAAGCTTAGGCCTTACTGTGGATGTTCTCGGTCAACCGAAGTACCTGGGTCCATCTAAGTAATGGTGAAAGCAGTTATCCACCCAGTCACGCGCAACTGGAATTGATTTTTTTCCTACCAATCTTTATGCAGGATCTTATTGTTCTCGGTAGGCTCCCTAAGGAAGTGCCGTTCTAACCTACGCATATAAATCTATCACCCTGATGCCATGGATGGAATATCGTGAAATCTTTAGTTGCATCAGTCCTTCTTGTTACATCTCGTTTCGCGGCCATCGAGATTAATACATCAGTATTATCCTCTGTTCCTCCCACTCTATATACCCCCCAGCCCCCTCACCATGTCTTTTATTCCCCGAGTATTGGCTCCCGCTCGTACACGGCTAGCTGGAGTTGTCATCGCTGCTCCCCGTTCTCTCTTTTCCTCATCAACGCGCTTGTATTCGACCTCCAAAAGCTCGTTTGACCCTCATGATATCCACAATGTAACCCACGGCCCAGACCACATCCAATCAAAGATGCCGGCGAAAGAGCTTTTGCGCAACCACCACCGTTTCAGCGAGTTTGATCTTGAGGGTCGAGTATATGCCATCACCGGCGGTGGGCGAGGGCTAGGACTATCAATGGCGGAAGCATTGATCGAAGCCGGGGCAAAAGGTACTTACACTCCCATTTCCCTCTCCGATGTTAAAATGAACGAATGCTAACGCGATATCAAATAACCAGTGTACTGTCTGGACCGCCTCGAATCCCCACATCCAGACTTTCTCGTTGCCCAGCAAAGGGCCAAGGACGACTTTGGCAGTAGTTTGGAGTACATCCGCATTGACGTACGCGACAGCACCGAAGTCAACGATGCATTCGCAGCCATTGCAGCGAAGGGAGAGCGATTGGACGGTCTGATCGCCGCAGCAGGAATCAACCACCTCCAAAGTGCACTGGAGCACTCCCAACAGGCTTTGGACGACGTGATGTCGATTAATTATAATGGAGTGTTCAACTCGGCCACCGCTGCGGCCCGCCAGATGTTCAAATACCAACAGAAGGGTTCGATCCTACTAGTAGCCAGTATGAGCGGCCTCATTGCCAACAAGGGCATGACCTCACCCGTGTACAACTCGTCCAAGGCGGCAGTCATCCAGCTAAGCCGTTCTCTCGCTATGGAATGGGGTCGTCATGGCATTCGTGTCAACAGTCTGTGCCCCGGTCACATCATCACCCCGATGGTGGACGAGGTATTCAAGCAAAACCCCGCTGCTAGGGCTACTTGGGAAGCGGAAAACATGCTTGGTCGCTTGGCAATGCCTGAGGAGTTCCGCGGCGCGGCTCTTTTTGCCTTTCTGATGCGAGCAGCTTCATGACGGGAAGCACTCTCCTTATTGATGGAGGACACACTGCTTGGTAAACTGTATTATCACCTCCGGCTGGCAAAACATTTTCACAAAAGTCAAGTTTAAAGATATCAATATAGCTGGCGAAAACTTTCAAAGAAGGGTATTGGCGTTGAGGATTTTTGTACAATAAGCGTATCCACCTTCGGGCGAAGCTGAGGTAGTATGACTTGGAATTTAGGCAGGAGCTTGAGGGCAATATCCCTAAGAGGAAGGAAGTTGCCTTAAGCACCTATAGGTATTTATTATAAGGTAAGGCTTCTCTTTCCTTTCTCTCTTCCTCTTCAGGTAATATGTAGCCCATAATGTTATACTACTGCTCAGCTGAAAGGGCACGATGGTCCCGGAGAGAGCAATTTTCATTGAGATTCTCACCCTGTGTATTACGCACTCGCCCAGGTCGTGCGACGCATACATAAAAACCAGAAAGTACGCATTTAATCACACATGATATCCAACCAGCTAGATAGATTCCTTTTTAGAGCCTGCTCTTCTAAATATTAAATGAGCAATTCATTTTAGAGATTTAGACAAAGCTCTTAAAAAATCAATATAAAACCGAAGTATGATGGCAATTATTTTGAAGGCGGAAGTAAAATGAGGTTAGAGCCAATAGTGTGGGGGCAAAATGACAAGAAAAACTAACAACATGCCAAGCTTATTACACGCCACAATTTATTTCACAACCGGATGTCTGCTCCGTTTTGATCGATGTAGTTTGCCCGTATATCGTATACTGGAAAAGGCGGTCATCGACTTTTCTGCCCGAAATCCCTTCACTGTTACAACCCGAAATAATTCAATAGCTCCAACTATCCTAGAGACTGTCTTTACGCCAGATTATAGAAGCAAATGAGCCAGAGTTCCCTTACACTGATTATCCTAGGTAAGCTGTTTGTTGGCGAGCTAGCGAATGACCGCATCCGCAATAGGAATATATCCTGTTTGATGCCCCTCCTTTTGACTATTTGATTACATTTCACAATATTTTTTCTCCCAAGCTTTCATTTTACCCTCTCCTTCCTGTGTGCTCTTTCCCTTGCTCTCCTAGCTTAGCCTAACCGGCTCATGTCTGTGCTTCAGAATGTCAATACTCCAATCTCGATACTAACAGTCTATATCTAGCCATCTAGGCAAACTATCCAATTATCGAAATATTGAGAACATAATGGATCGCCATGTTGTGCTAGACTGGTGAGCATTGGCTTTCCAGCTCTTGGAACCAGCTCGTTTTACTAATTTTCGAATAAAGGTACAATAACCTAGACTCTCGAGTCGTTGACCTCGTCGGTGACTTTGTTGGTGACGAGCTTTTCATAATCGAAGGAGATTCGCTTCTACTCCAATGCTTCTCCAACGAGAAACTTGACTTCAACCCGGGCTTCCAGGTCTTGCATGCAACTTACCTTGCTGAGAAGTTGCTACAAAAGCTTCAACAGCGCAAGTGTTTCTTCGAGGTTGTCTTTTTCGCCGAGAATGCCCCATTATGTATTCCCAAAGGAGTTCACAGAGACCTCCACGCGAGGTACCTCCTTACCCGAGAGGCAATTATACAACATCTTGTTTCTGTCCGCGTCCAACCGTCACAATTCTTCCGAGCCCTGAGGTTTGATAGCTTCCAATCCGATGAGTTCAAAGCTCATCTGGTAGAGTCGGGGGCATATTTGTTTATGTGTCATGACGGCGGGGTTTCTGACCGCGGGGATGATACTGCTAGTGATATCGATAGCAGCGATTCTGAAAGTGATTCTGATAGCAGCGACTTCGAAGATGGTGACACCAAAGGTTCTCTTATCGATAAGCGTGGCGAGATCTCAAGATTTAAGCTCCGCACGATGATCTACTGGTTTGTTGTCCACGGATACAATCTTGCTCTTCTCAATACCCTCGAGTTCCGTGACACAAAGGTATGTTTTTCCAACCCCCGGAAGACTGGGCTCGATACTCATCATATACGCAGGTCATGGCAATGGTGATCGAAAGCTCCATTAAAACAAATCCCTTGCCGACTGGCCCTGAAACAGATGATCCTAAAAAGCTCAATCAAAACGAGACTGATCCCAATTATTTGTGGAAGTCCCTCTCCCAATTAAATATTGAAGACAGCCAAGAGGATGCGCTAGAATATGACTCCGTCAACAATGAACCGTCAAACCAGGCTCAGATGAAAAAGGTTCTTGAACAGGCACTTATTGAGCAGCCTGGGCTGTCACAGCGCCAATATCTTGTGGTTGCTACACTCAGCTCTATGCTTTTGGGCGGCGTGGCGGACAAGCTCAAGAACAAGATTGAAGCACAGTCTATGCTTTTGCACATTGTACTTTTGCAAAACACTCAACTGTCCGATCGATCAATCCAAACCACTGCACCAAAAAACTCGAAATTTTTCAACGAATTCGTGAAAACGGCTCAGGTTTTGCTCAGCTCGAAGCTTTGGAATAAAGCAATGAGCGACCATAACCTACTTTGCGATCTTTTTGACCTCGTGGATGGAACATTGTTTTTCGCAGTCCAGCGGATGGTCGAAGAATCGGGCATCCAAAAATTAATCACATCGGTCACCCAAACCCAGTTCAACACCCTTGCGTGTCTGTTGGACCGCATTTGTGGTACAACACTGCAATGCGAAGAGGTTGGGGAAGCGGCTGCCGGCTCTGAAGATGCTGCTCATGGAAGTATCTCCAAGCCTCATGGCATTGAAAAGGTGCTTCCATTTAGCAATGCAGTCTTCGATAATATTCTGAAGCCTGTTCACCTCGCAGTCGATAAATCGAGTGATAGCCAAGTTTCCAAGGAGAATGAAGACACCCACTGGCATAGCTCCAAGCCCCTTGATCAAAAGAAAGTCATCCTCACACCCCAAGAAGTTGAGCGAAGCCATAAACGGAACCAGCGTTTCATGGCCGAGATGAGAGATTATGCTGCAAGTCTCTCATCATCACAGCCGGAGCCGATTGTTGTTGAAACCGGCAGTAGTTCACGCCAGAAGTCTCATCAAACCCCTCCGGCGAGCAAAGACGCTGGAAAATCAGACAAGAAATCTCACTCCAAGTCTGGCAAACCATCCACAAAAGAGATGGCCGCAGCATTCGTTCATCAAAAAGCAATGGAGGTAACGCAAAAACAGAGACAGAAGTGGAAAAACGTGTATAATGACGAATTCGCTCTCATCGATGATCTTGTGACTCGTTTTACAAAGCTCAACGGATACTTGACTAGTCTTCCTAAAGATAGTCGACAAGTTCTTGAACCTGAAGTTTTGACTTGCATGATCGATACATTGCTACGCCTTCTCTTTGTCGAACGCACAAATGTGCAGAGTAAAAAGTACATGTTGGTCGTGACACGCATTTGGGAGATTGTCACTTCCCTCGCGAAAATCAAGCAAGGCATCTCATCCGATATTGTCACATATGTCTCGACAGTCTGTCAAATACTTGGTTTGCCACCTGCTCAGCTTCATGCCGATTGTGAACAGAAACTATCTTTCCCGTCGTTCAAGATCCCTAAAGCAGCACCCAGCATGAGTATCGAGATGAGCCCAGTTGAATTCCAGCTTCAACACGGTGGGCCTTTCATGGAACGCAGCATAGACTCAATGCCCGACTCCCGGACGCCTGATTTTGCGCCCGATCGCTGGCAGCGTGAAGTGTTGGACCAGATCGATGCAAAGAAGAGCGCATTCATCGTGGCCCCAACAAGTGCAGGAAAAACATTCATCTCGTAAGTCGCAATATGTTCTGGTTCAGAATCATGCTAACATTCGTCAGTTTCTACGCGATGAGACAGATTTTGAAAGAAGATAACGATGGAATTCTTGTCTATGTTGCCCCCACAAAGGCTCTTGTCAATCAGATCGCAGCCGAGGTGCAAGCCCGATTCTCCAAATCATTCCCTGCCAAAACTAGTGGAAAGTCCGTTTGGGCCATTCACACAAGAGACTATCGCATCAATAACCCCCAGGGATGCCAAATTCTCATCACGGTTCCCCAGATTCTTCAGACCATGCTGCTTAATCCCTCGAACGCCAATGCATGGACTCCTCGCTTGAGACGTATTATTTTTGATGAGATTCATTGCATTGGTCAGGCTGAGGATGGTGTCGTTTGGGAACAACTGCTTCTGATGTCCCCATGCCCGATTATCGCTCTCTCGGCTACCGTCGGAAATCCCCAGGAATTCTACAACTGGCTAGATCTTGCCCAGAAAACCAATGGATTCGACCTCAAGATGATCCAGCACCAGCACCGTTATTCGGATCTGCGAAAGTACGTGTACGAGCCTTCTGGTGACTTCTCCTTCAAAGGGTTTTCCAGTACCCCTAGCTTGGCCCGTTTGGGCCTAGAGGGATCCGATGATATGACGTTTGTGCATCCTGTCACCAGCCTGCTGGACCGCTCCAGATCGATCCCAGATGATCTTGACTTTGAGCCACGTGACTGCTTCACTTTGTGGAAAGCAATGAATGATCTTCAAACAAAGCAGTTCCCCGTTGACCCATCTCTGGATCCGTCCACCTTTTTCTCGAATGTTGTCATCCAAAAGGTGCACATCATAGAATGGCAAAAACAACTCAAAAAGGTGTTGGGAGAGTGGATGAAAAACCAAGAATCTCCATTTGAGACACTTTTGGTCAATCTTGAGCACCCAGCAGGGTTTGCAATCAAAAAAGAGGAGGACTTGTCAAAACAGGTATCTCGGATGAATGGCTTATCTGATACGCTGAACGATAACCTGCTCGACACAACCCTTCCTTTGATCTCCTCGCTACACGCTCAGAATGCTCTCCCCGCGCTATTCTTCAATTACGACCGCGGTAAGTGTGAAGATATCTGCCAAGAGTTGTTGGCACAGCTACAAAAGGCCGAGACAAAATGGAAGGAAGAGAGTCCGGTATGGAAATCCAAGATTGCCAAATGGGAAGCATGGAAGACATCCAAGAATTCCGCAAAGAAGAAGCTTGAAAGGGCTACCAAGAAGAAGCCAAGTGGAAACGCCGACGAAGAGCCAACTTCCAAGGCAGAGCAAGCCAAGGAATCAGCATCTGCTGATTTCGGCTGGCTTGATCTTTTCGACCCGAAGAGGCCTGTGGATGGATTCCATTTGGCTGACTTCAAGAAGGTCACCGCTTCCGAGTTTTATGTCTATGCCAAGCAGCTGCAGTGGCGCTCGGTGCCTCAATGGTTGATTGATGGTCTAGAGCGAGGAATCGGTGTCCACCACGCTGGTATGAACCGCAAGTACCGTCAAGTTTGTGAGATACTCTTTAGGAAGGGCTTTTTGCGTGTCGTGATTGCTACTGGTACTTTGGCCCTGGGTATCAATATGCCTTGTAAGACGGTCGTCTTCTCGGGCGATTCCATTTTCTTGACAGCCCTGAATTTCCGACAAGCCGCCGGAAGAGCTGGACGTCGTGGATTTGACGTGCTGGGAAATGTCGTTTTCCAGCACGTTCCACCATCCAAGGTGCAACGACTGATTAGCTCGAGACTGCCAAGTCTTAACGGACATTTCCCCATCACAACAAGTCTGGTGCTACGGCTGTTCATCTTACTACAGGGCTCAAAGCAAGCTCCGTCTGCCGTGAAATCGATCAACTCGATACTCTCAAGTCCTCGAATCCACCTCGGTGGCCCTGAGATGAAGGAAACCGTGCTCCACCATCTCCGATTCTCTATCGAATACCTCAGACGGAATAATCTTCTTAGCGGTACAGGTATGGCTACCAATTTTGCGGGCTGTATCTCGCATCTGTACTACACAGAGAATTCTAGCTTTGCTTTCCATGCCCTATTGAATTCGGGATACCTCCAAGATCTCTGCCAGGACATAGAGACGAAGCCCAAAAAGACTGTTCATTCTCTGATGCTGGTCATGGCTCACCTTTTCGGGCGTATTCCCCTGCGAGCCTCCACCTTGGAAGTGTTCCAGAGCGCAGAAAAGAAGCTCTCCTCAGCTGTGGCTCTTCCACCTTTACCGAGAAAAGCAGCGTCCGCCCTACGTGCTCACAATAGACAGGTCCGGGACATCTACACTGGCTACGTCTCCACCTTTGTTAAGCAGCACGTCAGCGAACCAGACCGTTCGCTACCATTCAGTGGAACCAAATGCGGTGGAGAAAATAACTCCGAGAAACTCGGCCTCTCAGGGTTGGAGCACATCTCCCCGTCAATCGTATCCCCATTCTTCGCCCTTTCAGGAAATGGAGACGAATGCAGCACCGTCTTCGAACTCAGTCAGATGGTTCGCAGTGGCGTTTGGATTGAGGATTCCGTCATTCCATATGTGCCCGTTGACACCAACGAGAACGCGGCCCCTCTCAATGCATACCTGTATGACTTCTTCAAGCACGGAAGTGTTTCTCAGTTGGAGACTGCAAACCGCATCCGCCGTGGAGACATCTGGTTTGTGCTGAACGACTTCTCGTTGACTTTGGCAACAATCAAGGCCAGCATCGAAGGATTCCTCAAGCCTGGAGGCAACATCGGCGCGGACATGCTCGATGTTGCTGGCGGCGGTGATGATTACGAGAATCTCGTGGATGACAAGGCCGTTGATCAGATCGAGGCTGAAAATGCTGGAAAGTTGCCTGTGAAACCAAACAACATTCAGGCGGCGGCTGCCCCCGTCCCCGCCGCTCGTCCGCGAGCGAAGAAGGTTGTGGTGGATAGCTGGGAGGATGAGATGGAGGACGAGGAGCTGGATGAAAGCTGGGATGACGCCACCGATGCTCCCACAGATACAACTAACGGGGTCAAGGCTACGCAAGACAAGCCAGTGGACAAGTCTCACAGATCTATGTTCCTGGTTGCCAAGGCTTTCAAAGAACTGCACACTGAGTTTGATACCAAGTTCAAGGCTATGTGGGCTTAAGAATGTGTTATGAGAAATAAGATACTACAACTAGATACTAAATTGAGAATTATCTGAAGTGAGGGATTTCTAAAGTAAGAGATATCTAAAAGTACTAAAATCAGAGGCTCTACCCACTCCTCATTATATTAGCTCCTCTAGAGTATTACGTGCTTGCATCACTGACCAATCTTATATAAAATACCCTTCAACCTCCTATCATCCATCCTCCTGTCACAATGCCTCCCACCTATCCTAGCGATATCAGTTTTCAAAAGTGGCCGCTGGGGAAGTCATCTTTTTACGATACTCTATTTCGACCTGATACCCCAGCAGAAGATAGACGCTTAGGTCACGGATATCTAATCACCTCTATTATAAATTATGCTACGGATATGCTCGCAATAACATCCCAAGGCCAGTCTCCAGGTCGATTCGGCTCGGGGGATGTTCATTCCCTTCCCATGCGATTCGCCGAATCCTCACTATACACCCATGCGTCGGACCGCCCATCCACATTTTGCCTATTATTTTCCACATCTGAGCTCTGTCGACTTGCCGTAGCCATAGCATTGCGACTATTTGAGTTCGCTGACGCTCCGCAATCACTACCAAGCTCTCGAAAATTGCCTTTGTTTCCCCGCGTGTGTAAATGGAGGTTAGACCCGGTCGAAGGTCGGGATTGATATTTTGAGGCGTCAGTTCTGACTTTGCTGCGGACGCCTTGCACGAGTGGGTTAAGGAATGGAAGGCAGCCGCAAATGATGGCCACGTCGAGTTCGAGGCAAGTCCAGATGGACTCTTTGGCGCTTGAGGCTGGATGATGTTAGTTGGGAGTCATTTTATGAGCTGGGGTAGGAACGAACCCGCAAGGTCTGTTAGCTCGAATTTGCGAAATTCAACCAGGCGCATCAGACTGAAGATACAGACACTGCAATTCGTCATTAGAAGGAATCGATATATCATTTTGTTGAGGGGGTCCGCACAGTCCACCCAGAGAAAACACCAGTATCAATGCTAATCTTTGCCGATTATTGATCTGTAACTTCCAAAACACAGGAATTGGCAGACAGAGAATGATAACATCTTCAATCAATGCGATTGAGCCCATAGACTGGAAGAATTGAACCTGTCCCCCCATGCAGTGTCCTTTCAAGTCTTTGTTGTAGTAGTATTGCACCGGTGTGCATTGAAAAATATTAACCAACAGGGCAGCGAGAGCCCATGTGGCGATAAACCCAATCAGACAGTTGGAAATAACGACGTATGCACGGATCGAGCCCAAGAGTCGTTTGATAAAGACGACAATCGAGATCTTAACAAAGGCGATTGATGGGGCCCAGAACTTCTGTATCATCCATGATCCCTGTGCAATGTTAGATGTTCCCACGCTATAAGGTAATGCAATAACATACAAATTGAACATGCTTCCGTTCATATTTGGGGAGCGAGGCGACCGGCAGGCCGACGCCATTGAAGGCGGCTTGTATAGTTAGTATAGTGTCCGGGAATGTGTGAAAAAAAATACTCACTAAATACTACAAAAGCTGTAACACAGTAGGAGAGGATCAGACCAACACCCATTAGATAATCTTCCAGGTGAAACCCCACAGCTTTCGTTCGCCTGCAGTAGAGGCGTAACAGGTAAATGATACTCGCCACACCCGCCCCTACTATCGGCACGATAGTGAGGACATTTTTCCAATATGTATTGGTCTTGTGCTCCATATTGCAGATAGAAACATTTTGAGGTTCAAGATGCAAATATTAGAAGAATAGGAGGATCGACATTTCCCTCATGTAATCGGAAATTTTTGCCAGGGTGTGGTTTTTTGAGCAGAAAAGTTAAGATATTAAGATTCGGGCCTGAGGTCATCACTCGTTTTACTTCCATTCATTGGATGCAGTGAAATTACGAGTGAAATCATTTTCTTTTTTGATCATTGGGTTTATAAGATAGTTTTGAATAAAAGTTCTCAGCCAATGATATAGATATCATTGATGATCATTTGCCTAAACTGGTTTAATTAGAGTGCAATATCCAAGACACTCTCCGATCGTACCTTTTCTGGTGCATCTTAGTGCATCTTAGTGCATCCCAGTTCATATTAGTGGATATTAGTGTATCTTAGTGTACCTGATCCTAGTTCAAAATAGATTTCTACCTTGAGTATTGTTTTGTTGTGATTTCCATCCTTTTTGTCTGCAATCGCCAAGAATGTTGGCCACGTTATCCGGGCTTGTCCTATTGGCCTTACTAAACTCTACTTCGGCATGCACTTTGGATAACTTCAATGTAACAGTTGGAGGACGCATCAAACACCTCACTCCTTTCTCTTTGCCTTGTTTCTCCAGCTATAATGGGAAACCGGTCGCTCGCGATAATGCGGCCTGCGCTGCTATCCAGGCGAACTACGCAGATCCATGGCTGCGAACAAATTCGCCTAATGGCTACATGAACAACCAGGATGAAATGTGGGCATCCGATCCTAGTGACCAGTGTCTCCTCGACAGCAGCAATCCCATAGATCCCTTGGCGTTCGTGAATACCACCTGCCGTCAGGGCAATTTACCCTCTCACTATCTTGAAGTCCAAAGCGCAAGGGATGTGATTGAAGCTTTTAAGTACTCCAACTGCTCCGGCAAGCAGCTCGTCGTCAAAAATAGTGGCCATGATTACCTCACCCGCAGCAGTGGCCGTGATACGCTATCCCTTTGGACGCGAAACCTGCGATCGATGCACTACAGTGCGAGCTTTGCTCCCCGCGGCTCCAAGGATACTGCTCGCAGATATAAAGCTATCACCGTCGGCGCCGGAGTCAACTTCGACGAGGCGTACAAATTTGCACAGAAAAACAATGTAACCATACTTGGCGGCTACTCACCCACCGTCGGTGTCTCAGGCGGCTGGGTGCAAAACGGCGGCCATTCCATCTTGAGCCCCGTGTACGGTCTCGGTGTTGACCGTGTCCTCGAGTTCAAGATCGTTACCCCAGATGGTGTCTACCGCACTGCCAATGAATTCCAGAACCCCGACCTCTTCTGGGCCCTCCGCGGTGGCGGTGGTGGAACCTTTGGCGTAGTCCTCGAAAGCACTCACCATGTCGAGCCTGCGATCCGCTTTGTTGCTGCCAACATCAAGTTCCCCAGTAACTCCACCAACGTGCTTCCGTTCATGGAGATCGTCGTCAACAACACCCTTAAATGGGGACAGGAAGGGTGGGGCGGCCACATCACCGGTAACACGCTCGTCAACGTTTCTCCTTTCCTTTCCATCAAGCAAGCCAAGGTCTCACTGGCAAGCGTAATCGCCTATGCCAAAGCAAACGGCGGCTCCGCCACCATCGAAGAATTCACTTCTTGGTACCCCTTTTACGAGAAATACGTCAAGACCACCTCTGTCGCTGTCGGTGTCACTCGCTTCCCCGGAAGCCGACTGATCCCCCGCTCCATCTTCAAGACTCATGAGGGTCGCAAGAACCTCATGGACTACTTCGCAATCATCCAATCACTGGGCCAGACGCCTTACATCCCTGTCGTCGGACCAGTGCTGTACAACTACACCGAAGGATCAACTAGTGCTTCTCCCGCCTGGCGTGAAGCTATCTGGGAGTTGGGATCTGGTGCCTCCTGGGAGTGGAATGCTACCCTTCCCACCCGGAAACAGAAGATCAAGTCCATTCAAAACATGACCGCCGTTATTGAGGGCATTACCCCTGGCAGTGGCGCGTACAGCAACGAGGCCAACCCGTTCACGACTAATTGGGTCGAGGCATGGTGGGGTGATAACTATGAGAGATTGGTGAGCATTAAGAAGAGATATGATCCCAAGGGTTTGTTGAGTTGCTGGAAGTGTGTTGGCTGGAAGGAGTCACAGGTTGCCGATTCGTCCTTCGGTGGGCTGCTTTGATTTCAAAAGAAACGCGAAATATACACACTCCGGCGTACATATTATGTAGACTTTATACACCATGTACAGACTCTGCACGACTATGAAATCCTCGCCTTATTCAGTGTCTTTGGGGTTCTTACTTTTTATTTCTGTGATTCTTTCTTACTCTTGCACTTCCCCTCCTCCCCGTGAGGGATTCTAGACTCATTGTCAGTGCTCAGCTTCTATGCAGGTGCCATTCTCTAATGTTTCTCTTTGGACGATCACCATTTCTTCGGTGGTTTTTCTATTCTGCACCCAGCCTTCCCGACATCTTTCTCCCATTTCTACTCTCCGCTTTCTACTTCCCATTTTCCGGTCCTTGAGACACTGTTTATACAGTAAACATTGTCAAGTGCCCGGTCTAGGTCCTCAGCCCCAGATAATGAGTGGGAGCACTTCTACCACGATGAAGACCTACCAACGGCGGAAGAGATTCAAACGTTGCGCGAATTCGTTGAGCATCACGAGACTCCCCACGTTATTCCATCGGATGAAGCTGCTCGTCGCTTCATGTCCCTTTGCAATGAAGTCCCGGTGGCTAACAGAAAGAGGCCGAGGATCTCTTCTAAGGGGTGTGCGGCCAACGACCCCAGGGCAGCAAAGTGAGGGGGAAAACATACAATTTTTCCTTCTCGGTCTGGCGTACATGCAGAGAAACATAGTAAGCCAAGCGCACGTAGATTGAAATGGGGGTATGATAGAACATCAGTAGATTTAACTTGACGAAAATAGAGGAAGCTTGAGCGGTCATTATTGCATCAACTATATGATATACACAAGCCTTCTATCCCCAGTCGAATGCTCCAAGTCGTCCCTCCGCCCACCACCCATAAGCACATCCCGCTCTTCGCCTTGATCAACAGGACCAGCCTGTACAATAGTATAGGTTGTTTCCGCAGCCGCCCGATTCATCCTCTGTAGAAGAATCCGCAGCCCCACAGCCAAGATCGCAACAACAACCATAAAAAACGAGCAAGTAGCCATGCCCCGAATATACCACGGCCCGTCAGTCTCAGGATACAGTCTAGTCCCGAGCAGTGGCCCACACTGTCCGATGATATTGAGAATGGCAATGCTCGCGCCCTTGCCTTCCTTTTCGACGCGGTTATCCATCGACCATGTTATGATGAGGGTGATTGCGGAGAAGAACCCGGCCGTGGCGGGGTAGACACAGATGTAGCGGATGGATATGTGAAGCCATTGTGGCAGGTGTGAGTGGAAATATCCCGTTGCTGCGATCGCTAAATAAGCGAGTGATGAGATGAGGGCGTGGGCTATTAAGTATGGGCTTCGGGAGCGGCTGCGGTCTGACGCGTATGCGGTAAGGAGGACTACGACAAAGGCGATGAGATAGGGAGGTGCCGAGAGGGCTTGGGCTTGTAAGGAGGAATATCCCATGCTGCAAAGGGACATAAGTTGGTTGTCAAGATGAGGAATGGATGCCGGTGCATGACATACTCTTTAATGATAGTGGGCAAGAAGACAGGCATTGAGCTGAAAGCAACGTTGCAACTGAAGAACATAAACTGTAATAAATGTGTTAGAACTGCTTTGCGCAATCTAGAAGAGAGATAAGAACTCACGGCAGCCATATAAGCCTTGGGATCCGCTGCAGTCTTCAAAATTTCCCGCCAGTTAAATCGGCTTCCATATGGTTGCTCGTAATCGGCTGTGTTCTCTTCGAGGCGCTGCTGAGCTACCACCCTTTGTCGGCGACTCAGGAATCGAGCCCGACCAGGGGAATCCGGTATCAAAAACCAAGCAAACACCGCAACAATGACGCTCGGAAACCCCTCCACGAGGAATAGAGTTCGCCACGGTGAAATGGGGCCATCACTGCTAAACCTGACAATTAAGTAGGCCAGACTGCTAGCAAAAGATGTCGCGAGCGGTGCTGCTGAGATAAACAGTCCATTGCGGAAAGCCAGCTCATGCCTGCGATAGAACAAAGACAGGTAAAATGGAACACCCGGTCCAAAAGCCGCCTCAGTGATTCCAAGTAATGCCCGAAGAACAACCAGCCCCTCAAAAGAAGTAGCCAGACACTGGAATGACGCGACAAGTCCCCATCCACACACACATAGAGAGATATAAATATGCGGGGGAACAACACGGTACATCAGTGTCATCCATTCAAAGAGAATGTAAGTAATGTAAAAAGCGGTAAGTAGCCATTCATATTGTGAAGATGACAGTTGTAGATCGTCTTGTAGTCCTGCTATCTTTGCATTTCCAATGTCTAGGTTTATTATCAGTACATGCTTGCAATCTCAGGGGAAAAATTTCGCTGTGCGAAATAACCAAACATACTTGAGCGGTCTAGGAAGGAGAGCAAGTAGAGAAGAGCTAGAAACGGGACCAGCCGTCGATCAAATCTCCTCACTACCTCGCTCTCCTCCTCTAGTGTGTACCTCGGGCCCAAACCACCGCGCGGTAGTTTACCCTCAAGCTCCTCTCTGGTGTTGTAGTCGCCGTCGTTCTCGAAATCGGATAGAGGGTCGCCAACGTCTACATGGTCATCGAAGTTGGTCTCCAGTCGCAATGAGCCTATGGGGGGATTTTGCGGGCCCCGGCACTGGATGGTCTTCATCTGAGCCATACGATACCGGAGTAAATTGTGGGTTTGAGGATGTGCTGGAGCTGGTGGAAGATGCATTATTCCCCGCGGCGGAGGGATGAAGGTCTGCCATTTCTCGGGAGTAACACAGTCGGTCTAGGAGCCTGATCGGTGAGATATAGTCTCCATTAGGGCAGAGAGTACCTCTTCTCTGAGATCGAAATAAAAGAAAGAAAATAACTTCCCCTCGATTCGCGAGACCGGGTGACCGATGTTGATCACCTGGGCATGGGTCTCCAGGCCCGGGCTTCTGCGGTGGATTATGTCATCCATACACGTGGGTTTATAATTGGCGCTAAGATGAGAGTAGCTTAGCGTGGAGCTTGGCTTTATTAGCGACCATGGTTCGGGATTATATACTTCAACCACCTCTTCTACAAGTAGGAGTAGGAGTAGGAGGATGTTTGCTTGTAGAATTGAGCTGATATTTGAATTTCTTCTAGTACATAATGGGTTGTACTTTTCCCAAGCATTAACGAGGAAAGAGATAACCTCATAATTCAGAATGTATCCTTCGACTAGGAGCTCAGATCCCGCAGTGAGCCTAAGGACGGTAGGAGTCGAAGGTACGGCTATCTCATCCATTTCTTCTGTTGACGTGACTATGATCCCATGCACCCTTGTGGTCATGGTCCCATGTGTCATTTTCAGGAACATATCGGTCCCAGCGGTTGTATCCTGCACGGTGGTCCCCATAATATCCATAAGGTCGGTAGGGGCTGAGGCTTGAACTGCCCCTTGAGTCATTATCCGTGTGTTCGAATTTGCGCTTGCGACCGCCCGCGAGCTGGTTTGCATGTGCCTGGCTGACCTGAATAATGTCCTCGATTTCGGGAATCAGATCGTTGTCTTTGTCGACTGACTTTAGGTATCGCAGGAGGTTCTCGGCGGTGTCACGGAGGAATCGGACGCTGTTTGTTCGCTCGCGGTGGCTCTCGGTGACTTCAAGGATGTAGTAGTCAGCCTTGGCCTTCTGGTACACCCGAATGAGCTTGTCGATATGGTGTGACTTGGATTCACCAGAGCTCTGTGGTGACTTGCTAGACTTGGTGTCTTCTGTGGCGCCTTCTACGGCATCGGCTTCAAGGATTGGTATTTTAGGGATAGGGCCTGGTAGCTGGTGTTAGAATACATAAAAGTAAATTTCATCAAGGCGTAGCGACGGACCATTATCCAGAATGTGCTGGGCAGCAAAATGGGCAGCAATTACAGCGTTGCTCTCATCCTCTGAGTGACAGTTCTTAGTCCCCAGATACTCGGCCAGGTAGAATTCAAGCAGACCGTAGTGTTGCATGGTGTGCCCCTCATCATAGAGACGAAGGAGAACGCGGTCGTAGATCGTGACCTGGCCATCATCGTAGGACTGCGAGCGATGGCGGATGGATTTGACCTGGCGCCTCAATCCGTGGAAGAGAGCCCGAGCATGCTCACGGTTGCCAACAAGTTCTTGTAGGATCTCGCTTGGATTCATCACCACACTCCACTTGAGGTACAAACTGTCCTCCTTACCATGCAGCCCGCGCGACACGACACGCTTGATGTCTAGAGAAGTCATTCGCATCATTAGTAAGATGACCATGTGGGAGTCGAATACGGGTGGGTTCAAAACCAGAAGCAACCTACCGCGCTTTTTGGGATGAGATGGTGACGGCATTGCGAAGTTCTACGCGGCAACAACGATAACCGCGCGGTGTTGATGAAGATGGCGAGAAGTGAGGAGGGAGAAAGAGGAAAGAGAAGAAAGAAACTCCGAGATCTGATCAAACAACAATGGCAATGGAACAGGTAGGCAGCTAGATACTTGCCCTTCCTTCCCATGTATTAGCGAGAGCTAGAATCGCGGAACTCCCAATAGCTTTGCAGCGTTTACGTACTACAGCCTGGCTACCATGCTGTAGCTATGCTGTGCCTATGTCGTAGGTAGAAAAGCCCTCTGAGTCCACAGATTGATATCAGACATACCTAGATACGTAGTAAGGGATTATCGGTTACACTGAGTTGTCATATCCTATAATATGGGAATGAATGCAGGGTATGAACGATAAAGTATCCATCTAAGCCTCAGTTTCTCTCCTTCCAGAGCTTTTCGACTTGGTCGACCAGGGCTGAGGGTTGGCTGCCTTTCCCATTTTGGGCACAGTTCTTCCATTCGTTGCTATCGCGGATGCACCACACGGCATCGTCGAGACGCACGGTACAACTAGTCTTGACACCGAGTTGTTCGCCGTGCGTAGCGCTTTCGCGCAGCAGTGCAAGGCCACTAAGTGGTGGTCCGCCGTCATTGCCATCGTTCGGGTCATCATTCTGCTGGCTTGCACACTTGTTTAAGGAGTCAAAGTCAATCCCATGCTCCATTGCA